TGTGGGCATGTGTGCGCCGCGGCCCCTGCGTGGGCCGCCGCGCGAAGCTCCACCAGGTAAACTTCCTGGTTGCCGAAGGCACGGGTCACGTGGACGTCGGGGCGAACCTCCACCAAGCGCTGCAGGATGCCCAGCAGCACGAAAGTGGCGCCCTCAATGGGATATTGGAGTCTCTGGGTGGCTTGACTGTGACTCTGACTCTGACTCTGACGTGACTGTGGTTTGATTTCGATTCTCTTTACTTTGTTGAGTACTGAACTGATTTCAGATTTCGTAGCTCTCGTCACGCTTGCCACGTCGAGTCGAGTCATGTCACACTCACAGAGTCACATGCATGCATGCTGCGTGTCATCAGTCATCACAATCTGTCCGTGATGTCTTTGTCGTCGTCGCGTCACGTCATGCATGCGGTCATGCTGCGGCCTATGGCTAGTTGCGTGAGTCTTAAATTAATAAATTCAATTTTTCATGAAAATTTTAGTCTGAGTCTTAGTCTTAGTCTTAGTCTTAGTGTTTACAAAAATCGGCCAACGGTGCCGGCGTTATCCGCGGCGAAAAGAAAAAAGGGTTTCGGCGGTTTCGGGTTCGGTTTAGGCGGTTTAGGCAAGCAGCCCTACCTAAGCCGCGCAGCCTAAGTCTAAGTCTAAGTCGCAGTCTAAGTCTAAGTCTAAGTCTAAGTCTATCAGCCTGACAGTCTATTTATTTATTTTAAATGACTCTGAATATCAGGAGCCGGGATCGTCGGCTGTCAGCCAGGGTCCCACAGCGGCAGCGGATGAGGCTGCTAATGATGCCTACGATTCGTTCGATGACATGGTGCGAGACTCAGTGCAAGAAGCACAGAACAGGCGCTGGATGGACAGCGGGTTCTTTCACTCGGAGGAAGAAGAGTTGTCGCCGTTGTCGCCGTCGTATGAGCATGAAGAGAAGTTGAGAGACTGCCAGCGCCAGCCGGCTGCCAGCCCGAAAACGTCAGGGCAGCACGAGCCAGAGGACAACGGCACGACCGCCGAGCAGCCGCAACCGCTGGAGTCACAAGTGGACGGGAGAGTGAACGCAGCAACAGAGCTGGAGTCAAAGGCGGAGCCACTCAGGAAGGAGGAGCAGCCGGAGCACAATGACAGCCAGGCGAAGCCACTCAGGAAGGAGGAGCAGCCGGAGCACAATGACAGCCACAGCAATTTGCAGCAGCAGCCGGCTGTCAGCCCGACAACACCAAGGCAGCCGGAGGCCCAACTGGACGGAACAAAGAAAACAGTAACAGAGCAGCCGCAGTTGGAGTCAGAGGTACAGCCAGTCAGGAGCCAGGCACGCGTGGTTTCGGACTACCTATCTGATGCCTACTGGAGTTCCCATTTGTCACCTATCAAACCCCGGCCAACTGACAATGGTGGCAGGAGCCCTCCGCCAACCGTGGCCGCAACAGTGATCGTAGCGCAGCCGGAGCATAGCCATGGCTGCAGCAATCTGCAGCAGCAGCCGGCTGTCAGCCCGACAACACCAGCGCAGTACCAACAAGAGGACAACAGCACGACCAGCGAGCTGCAGCAGCAACAGCAGCAAGCTGTACAAGTTCCTGTACAAGCGCAGGTAGTAAAAGAAAGCAAGGAGCAAGAACAGCGGCCACCGGAGCCGCAGCCCCAGTCAGAGCCAGGGTTACTGGGAAAGGAGGAAACAAAGACCAAGCAGTCGGAAGCCAGCAGTCTGCAGCAGCAGCCGGCTGTCAGCCCGACAACACCGGGGCAGTGCGAGCAAGAGGAGTGCAGACAGCAGCAACCGCCGGAGTCACAACTTGACGTAACCTTAGACGAAGCTGCAGGCAAAGAGCAACCTCCGCAGCCGCAAACAGAGCTTCAGTCAGAGCTGTTCAGCAAACAGGAGGAAAGAAGGCAGCACGAACAAGCGCCAGAGAAGGAAGGCAACAAAAGCACAACAGCCACCACCGCCGCAGTGCTTTCCGCTGACAGCGAGCAACCCACGGAGCCTTTAGTACTGGGGAAGGAGGAAACAAAGCAGTTGGAAGCCAGCAATGACTCCAGTCTGCAGCAGCAGCCGGCTGTCAGCCCGACAACACCGCGGCAGTGCGAGCAGGAGGAGAACACTGCAACAGTACACGAAGACTCAGGCAAAGAGCAAAACCGCCAACCGCAAGCGCCAGAGTTGGAAAGCAGCAAAAACACAACAGCCAACGGTGCCGCAGAGTCTTCGGCTGCCAGCCAGAAGCCTGCGGAGCCTTTGCTCACACCAGACTCGCTCGCTTTGGTTCAGAAGGTGCAAGCGAACAGGGACCAGCAGTCCGACGAGTCCTTCGAAGCACTTCTGCAGGCTTGCAAGCAGCACGAACTGTTTGCTGCGTTCGAGGCAGACTTCCTCGAACACTGGGATTCAGATGAGCCATGGATCTTTCAAGAGTCGGAAGATCTTGAATTGTTTTTCGATTTCGTGCAAAGGAAGGCGAACTTAGACTTGCACCGTTTCGCCCGGGAAGCTTCGGACTCAGAGAGCTCGCAAGAGGACGTGTCCAAGACTAAGACTCAGACTCCGGCTGACAGCCAAGACAGAGCGCCCGCTGCTGACACTGCCACCCAGGCTGATTGTTTTCCAAAATCTTTCGGCTGGCAGCCACAGGACAGCGACAGCGACAGCGACAGTGTGTCGGGAATGCTGGAAATGGTAGCCCGAGCCAAAGACAATGACGGGCATGAGTCTGAGCCACGTAATCAAGCAGCAAAGGATCTTGGACCAGAGCGGCTGGTCCTTCAAGAGCCGGCGTTGTTTGCGCAAACCGAAGTGTGGAAGTTTTTGCAGCTTGCTTGGGGCAAATTGTCCCAGCAGCAGCGACAAGACTGCCTGCTCAATCTGACCCAACACACCCACTTCCGTGGCGAGGCAGGTGACACCTGGCGGCCAAGCGGGCCTTCCATCGGGACGATGTGCTCTGGCAGTGGAATGGCAGAACTTGTGCACAGAGTTTTGACCGAGGCTTTGCAGACAAGAGAAGTGCTTGTGCACAGTTGCGAAAAAGAAAAGTACAAGAAAGGCCACCTGCTGCAGTACGTCGCTCCGATCATGGAGCAAGGCAACCCGGATCCGGCTGTCAGCCAGAGGCACGGTTGCGTTTTCACAGAGTTTGCCTCTTTGGCAGGAACGTCAGCTTACTGCGATCGCCACCAACGCACATGCCGCATCCAGCCATCGCCGCTGCTTGTTGTTGTTGGATACTCTTGCAAGCAACTTAGCAAAATGAACAACGCCAGCAACGTCGGAGTGTTGAGATCGCAGACAGGCTCCAGTGGGGAAACATGCTTCGCACTCATGAAGTATTTGCGGCAGCACCGGCCCGTTGCTGCGCTGCTTGAAAATGTGGAGGAGATGTCCAGAGAAAGCCAGGAGTCAGACAACGTTGCTTTCTTTTTGGAGCAGCTGGAGGCTTTGGAGTACAGTTTGGCCACAAAGCTTCTCGAAGCGTCGCACTTTGGGTTGCCGCAGGCTCGCAAACGTGCCTGGCAGGTTCTCCTGAACAGGTCCGTGTTTGACTGCTCTACGGAAACCCTTGACTCCATCGCACAGGCGATCCTGAACACTGCTTCGTCTCTCGGCTGTCAGCCACGTCCGGCAGTGGATTTCCTGCTTCCTGATAACGATCGCTACGTAGAGGAGGTGCTGGCGAAAAAAAAGCAGGCAGCCCGTGACAGCTCTGGCGAACTGGAGGCTTGGCGGCAGAGGCATCGCGATTTCTTTGCGACCAAGAACATCGCTTGGACAGAAATTAAGCTGCCTGAGGTTGTGCAGAGCAGTCCCTGGGCCTGCCTACTCACAGAACGGGAAAAGGAGGTTCTGGCCTACAGTTTGATGAAGCACTTTGCAGACGTCAAGGCCTCTGGGACGCCTTCCGCTGACAGCGAGGGCCGCCAGTTTGTTGCAGTAGACCTTTCGCAGAGGCTTGACCGAGCCCGAGTCACCAGTTCCCCCGACTTGTTTTTCACGATGCTGCCAACCCAGAAAATCTGGGTTTTGGCACGCAGCAAAGAGGGCCTGGTGCTTCACAACCGACTTCTGACGGGCAAGGAATCCTTGAGGTTGCAAGGATTTCCAGAAGTCTCGGAGCTGCAGGTGACTGACCACCAGCAGCAAGACCTTGGTGGCAACGCCTTCGCCAGCACAATTTTGATGGCATTGCTTCTGTCGCTATATTCCCACCTTCCGCAATACATGTGGACCGACAAAGAGCAAGAAGAAACGGCTGCAGCTGATGATGTGGAGCGGTTGCTTTGTGATATAGACGACCTGGACTAGTTCTATAGCGCCTCCTGGCAGCAAAGGGCCGCGTGTACGGCTGACAGCCAGTTGGACAGCAGGGCGCACTCCCGTGGCGCGGCGGTGGCATAGCTGCCCCCACTGCCTTGGCTGTGAAGCTGTGAACTCGCCCTGTTTGAGTTTTTGGACGTTTGAAGGCCTGTAGGGCCGAACCACGAGCACCACGTCTTTACACAGCTGAGTGCGAAAACCGGTGAGTGGGTGACGGTGCGTGCTTTGATTGAGCAAGTGAGCAGCTTGACAGGCCGGCTGTGGTACAGTGTTCCGACGTCACGTTCAGTTATGTTATGTTACTTATGTTCAGTTCTGTCATTCTGTCTTCATGCTTGGGAACTCCGTGTGACATGTGACATGTGACATGTGGATGCTTCCATGGGCTCAAGTCAAAGTGGCCCCAAGTTGAACTATCTATCAGTCTATCAGTAGTGAAGTCAAGTCTTAGGAGTCTGACAGACGTCTACAGTCCTCTGGAGAGAGCCTGAAACGCAGTAGGTGGTAAGACTAGGCTGACGAAAGTTGCCTGGCCCTGGTGAGCAAGTGCGGACGGGGGCCGCTGCGCTGAAGTTGGCTGCGTTGTTGTTGTTGTGCTCGGCTGCCAGCCTGTTTTGTGCTCGGCTTTCAGCCTGTTGGGCACTCGGCTGTCACCTTGTTGTGTGCTCGCCTGTCTCTCTCGGCTGTCAGCCATGGACGAGGACTTGAAATCCGTCGCCGGCCGCTCAGAACGCTCAGAGGGGGCAAACACTGCTTCGACAGCTCTGTGTCAAAACTCCGCCGCCGGGACGGTGGTAGACGGACAAGTCTTCTTGAAGGTGCGCAGCTGCATCGCTTGCGGTCGCAAGAACTGCGACCTAAACGAAATCAGGGCAGGCTTGTTGTCGAAAAGCCGCTTCACAGTGTGGCATAGAGGCACCCCAGAGGATCCTCAGTCCAAGCACGACAGGGTTTGCCAGCTCACGTACCAGCACGGCGCCTTCGGAGACGAATCCATCGAAGAGTTTGTCAACAATCGGATGAAAAGAGATCCGCAGCTGCAGGCCGAGTTCATAGCAGCTCGAGGTGCCATGCTGGAGCTGCTCAACGAAGGCAAAGCGCGGTTCAGGGGCAAGACAATGGACTCCGCCAAGCAGCGCCTGGAGCTTGCCAGAAAGAAGTCTGTGGAGGAGTTCAAGGAGGCTTCGACTGAGGTGGTGACGGGCTACGTGTGCTGGGACCGGGCGCTCTTCGAGAAGGAGCACCCAGGCCTCATAGAAAAGAAGGGCTTGAAGGTGGCGAAAAAGGTCATAGACGGAAAAAAACGGGAGGTCGTGATGATCAGGAAAAACCGCGAGGGCATCTGGGACGTGAACGTCACCGAGAAGACAGGTGTTCGACAAATGGAAGAAATCGACAACGGCGAGCACGAGATCCATGAGGGTCAGCACAGCTTGAAGTTTTCCTCCTCAAAGAAGCGCCTGCACAACGCACTTGCCGAGAAAGCGAACGAGTCAAGCGTGCTTGCGGCTGACAGCCAGGAAGACCTGAAGGACAAAGCGCTGCCGAGGCTGGCTGAGTCTTCGGACGAGGACGGCGACTACGGGGTGAGGAGCACTTTGCTGGACGAGGGCGATAGTCCGCCAAGGAAAACCCAGCGGCCGAACCCAAGCAGCGGCAGTGGTGCCAACTTGCCTGCGCCCAAAAACAAAGCCAGAGGCGGACAGCAAGCGCAGAATCCGATTCCTGCTGGCAGCAAGTTTCCCGATTCTGCTGTCAGCAAGCATCTGTCAAGTGAGAGGCGGGAGTCTCGAGAGCAACCTCCAGGACCTACAGACAACAAAGCGGAGACAGCCGGCCGAGGCCGGCCGAACAAGTTTAACAACAAGACGCCGGTGGAAGTCCTGGAGTCCAGCGGCCTGGTGGAGGTGAAGACTTGCCGGCAGAGCGTGCAACTTGCCAGCAACAATTTTTTCTGCTCAGAGTCTTGGAGTCTCTGTCCCAGTCCGAGTCCTACTTGTATCTGTAGTCTGCAGTCCGTGGTCCGTATATATAATTTACATAGAGTCGAGTCATACAGAGTCATCATACAGTCATACAGTCATGCGTTGAGTCATACAGTTATCTTGGGGCATCATCCAAGGGTGGACTTCTTGTCGAGAGACATCTTGAACAAGCTTTGCACAGATGTTGAAACAACGGAAGTTTACAAGAAGACGACGGCCGAGTTCTCAGGCCTCAGGGAAGACTAGCGAGTACCAGAGGAAGGCCACCGCGCTGGAAGCCAAAGTGAAAAAATGGCAAAACCGGCCATCTGAAACTGATGATCTGGCAGGAAGGCAGAAGGAGCTTGCGAGCATGCTTCACGCAGCGGCAACAGTGTTTCAGCTGTCAGCTAAGAGATCGCCCAACACAGACAAGATGGAGCAGATCCTGACAACTTTGAGACATGAGGGCTTGGAGGCAGGACTTAAGATTCGCGAAGTTTTTGAGTTTTGTGTATGTTTACCAGTATAGGCTGGCGGCTGGCTGATAATCCATAGTCCATAGTCCATGGTCCATAGCCTATAGTCTATAGTCTATAGTATAGTCTATAACTGCAGGCTGTTTGGATCCTGCAGGTGCCCATGGCCTGGTGTGACTTGCTGCTCCAAGAGAAGCTCGCGGAATGCTTGCGCTTCAAGAAGTTGGACGAGTTTGCGCACACGTGCCAGCCAGGGAAAGGTCCTTTCGAGGGAGTTGCAGACGAGCGAGCTGACGTGATGCAAGCCTGCATTCACAAGTGCCTTGGCCAAATTTTGTGCGACCTTGTTCCGGATCCGGCTGTCAGCCAGAAGAAGAACAAGAAGGGAGCAGCAACTGCGAAAGAAAGGAACGCTCAAATCCAGACAATGCTGGATCTGGCCTTGCGTTTGGTGGAGGAAAACGCACTGCCGGAGGAGATGTTGCGAGACTTGGACATCCTAGCCGATGCACTTGATGAGAAAAGAGCGGACCATGCTACTGTGCACAACCGGCTGTCAGCCTGGAAGCAGGACGACGAGTACTTTGGTGTTTTGCGGCCAGTGGTCAGAAATGAGCACTGGTCTGCGCTCGTCCAGCAGTTTTCCGCCCCAGCCTCCGCCGCCTCGACCTCTGCCTGCCTCCGTTCTGCTTTCAACAAGGTGAACGGGAACACGTCGCCAGTGTCAGAACAGGACAGAGGTGAACTTGTGGGCGCACTCCAGGGCTCGGCTGAGCAACCGGCCGATTATGACTATCTGAATAGCGTGTTGTGCGGTCTGCAGCTGTTGGCAGAAGAAGCAAACAAGCAGCAAAAGGACTTTGTTCTGCGCGTTTGCAAAGACATTTGCGGCCGTGGTGTGTCTGCTTCAGATTTTCATGGGGATGAGGATTTGATGGAGCAGATGTTCGCGAAAGGTCACTGGGAAGTTTCGGTTGTGAAGAACGCAATTTCAGAGAGTGCAGCAGAGCAGCAACACAAGAACACGGTGCTGCAAACCTGCGAGAAGCTTGCGGCAGCGAGCAGCAAAGTTTGCCTGTGGCATGGGTTGCTGAACGCCATACTGACTTTGGCCAAGACGGCGCAGGAGCATGCGGACAATGGGTTGGATGCAAACGTCCAAGACGATTTGGTGCAGTGCTGGAGTGAGGTGAAACACCGACTGCAGACAGACCCGGAGATAGCCGCAGCAGCTCAGCCCGTCAAGGAGGCCTTGGAGAACTTGCTGAACGCCACGAAGACTGAGCAAGTGGGACCTCAGGTCTACGAAGGCGCCATGACGGAGCTCCGGCTGTCAGCCATGGAACTGCTGAGGCTTGCCAAAGAGCGCCGCAAGCCAGAAGTGCAGGAAGCTGCTAGCAACTTGCGAAAACTCGAGCATCGCTGCATGCAGTGCTGCTCGCTGTCAGACACGCCGGTCTTCGCTAGGTCTTGCGTCAGCCTTGTCACCACCGAGTTCGCCGGTGTGTGTGAGGTGTTGCCTTCCGCTGCCAGCGAGCAAATACCGGATGATATTTTGAACAGCTCGGTTATGCAGCACTTGCGAGCCGCCAATGACAAGGAGACCAACAAGCAGAAGCTGGTGCATGTGCTGCACTCTAGCGGCTGCGAGCAGTTCTTGGAGCAAGCGTCCAAGCTACTGGAAAGGCTCGAGCCACTTTTCACAGCTAAGAAGGTGTCACTTGAAAAGCTCCTCGTGGAGGCTGCTGCCAGTGCAAAAGCCAAGCTGGTTAATCCCCACATGGGCATGGATGAGTTCTTGCAGTCCGCAGCCTCTGGTGAAGCTCTCAAGAAAGCCTTGAAGCAACTGCGTGCAGCGGAAAGGGACATGCAAGGCCACGGCATGCTACAGGACGGCTCTGAGCTGCAGCGCGACGTCTCTGAAGTCAAGGCGTCTTGCCGTTTGCAGATCATCAAATGGGGAATCGTGACTTTGGTCGCCAATGCCGACATCGTGGCGGACAACAGCAAGGGGAAGGGCCTCAGGAAAACTTTGCGGGACGTCTGGAACAGTCATTGTGATGATGGTGATGTCAAGAGTGTCCTGGGGCAGGCGGTAGTGGACTTGGTAGAGCAGTCGTTGGCGACACCAGAGAAGACCGAGGACCCCGGCGCCGTTGCGCCCAAGAAGCGTGGTAAAAAAAAGTAGGTCTGCGGCTGACAGCCAGCGCCACGACGACTACGAGTCACTACACGTCCGGCTGACAGCCAGCCACCTGCCAACTTTGCGCTGCAACGTCCGGCTGACAGCCAGCTCCTGCGAGCTCTGCGCTGCTGCGTCCGGCTGCCAGCCAGGCACGGCGAGTTCTGCGCTGCAGCGTAGAGAGTCTGAGTCGTTTTTGAAACTCCTCCTTTTCCTGTCGGCCCGGTTCCTAGCCCGTAGCCCCAAAGTGCGACAGCGTTCCAAGCTAGGCTAAACCGCAAAACCTCACACTCAGCCGGGCTGTCAGCAAGGGGGGTTGCCGACGTCACTGTCACTGCAAGTTGTGTGCAGAAGAAATGAGTGCCAGGGATTCATGAGTCATTCGTCATTAAATAACTTGCTTAATAGTTAATAGTAAGTAATATGAATCTGATAATCTGAGTATGAATATTAATATTTATATTATATTCATATTAATATTAATACTAATATTAATATTAATATTAATATTAATATTAATATTAATATTAATATTAATATTAATATTAATATTAATATTAATATAATATATTAATATTTACTATTTATCTTAAATATGAATCTGAATGAATATATAATATTTATATATCATATAATTGTGTGATTTTTAGTATTATTATTGTTATATAATATATATATATATATATATAATATTATATACATATTAATTTCCGGAATTTCCGGCAAATCATGAAATTCATGAAAGCCGAATTTCCGGAATTTCCGGCAAATCCTAAAATTCATGAAATCCGAATTTCCGGAATTTCCGGCGAATCACGAAATTCATGAAATCCGAATTTCCGGAATTTCCGGAAAATCATGAAATTCATGAAAGCCGAATTTCCGGAATTTCCAGAAAATCATGAAATTCATGAAAGCCGATTTTCCGGAATTTCCGGAAAATCATGAAATTCATGAAAGCCGATTTTCCGGAATTTCCGGAAAATCATGAAATTCATGAAAGCCGATTTTCCGGAATTTCCGGAATTTCCGGAAAATCATGAAATTCATGAAAGCCGATTTTCCGGAATTTCCGGAAATTCATAGTATTGGAATGATTGGAATTATTGGAATTTCAGGAATTTCCGGAAATTCATGATATTCGAATTATCGGAATTTCAGGAATTTCCGGCAAAACGAGCAACATGAATTTCCGGATGGACGCTAAACCATCTTCCAGAAGCAAGCTCTTGGATTCACACAAATTATTGGGCTCAAAACGACAATTCTCACCAGGAGTAGCCGGTTTGACTCAGGCGAAAAGCTGGGCAGAAAGGGTGAATACTACTACGACTACAACCACCTGTCCTTGCATTACGAGGCCTGCTTCTGAAAAAAGTTGCCTGTCGAGGCAGGACATTGTGAACGTTGTAAATGTAAACACACGTAATCATGATCGCTATAGTATCTTTGAGTCACACCGTGGGCTTTTGCACCACATGTGTCTACATGCTGAGGCACGCTTAACTACATGGAAACCGAGTCACACAGAGACCCTTGTCGAGTAGAAACCCTTGTCTATCAGAAACACAAGCCCGTGTCCAAACGCAACCCCTGTCCAACGAACCCTTTTCGAACAGAAAGTCGTGTCTAGCAGCAACCCGCGTCTTTGACAAACTTCGTCTAACAGAAACCCATGTTCAACAGTAGACAACCCCAGAAGCTTTGTCTAGCATAATCCACAGTCTTTTGCAAACCTGTGTCTGACAGAAGCCCTTATCAAACAGATGCCACTGCTTAGCAGAAGCCCCCCAAGGAGCGTACAGGAGTTCGGCACTTGAAGGGGCTAGGCGTGGCTATGCCCATCAGTGATCACAACAGGAATACTCTGACAACAAGAGGAGCAAACGCAGGTAGCCAAAGAAACGACTTTCTAGCAGGGCATTATGTCCTGGCCTTGGCTGCATGTCTGAGGTCATGTGTCCGTGCTTATGGTGTTGGCGCATGCCCTCTTTATTCAGTATGTGATGCTTTGCGATGCCTTTCCCCAAGAACCATCCTGTTTTGCCATAAGGCGCTGTTTCGCCCAACCCAGTTGAGGAAGAGCAAAGGATGTACTCACCTGCTTTGTATACACGGCGGCAACAGGAGGCTTTATGTATCTGGCATGTTGTCTCTGTGCGCCTCTCGGCCAAATGACACCCCCCCCTCGGCACTTGGATTTCTTGGCGAATATGTGAATGTGTGCTTGCATATGAAAGATGCATTCACCGAGAGAGGCAAGCACACGAAAAATGTACATGCGTGTATATCTGGATATGTGTATGACACTGCGCCCACACAGAAACTTTATTCAAGTAGTGTACAGAACGCACCCTGCCACTGTACAGACTGCATCTTGCATCACATCTCTGCGCAGAGCAGATATTAGGGTCATGTCGCCAGGCCAGCAAACTGAATCTTTGCAGACTGTTCAGTCCCCGATGTCGACAGAACCAGGGTGGGTGTTCTTATGAAAAGCACGACGATCGCATCTCCGCCAGGAGGACCACTACGTATGCAAGCACGAGAAATGCCAGCGTGGCTCGCTACGCCTGGTTGCCTTCAACACAGAAGACGAGTTGTTTCCTGGCACGAAGAAGCTCCGATCCTTTGTGCGTGCAGTCTTTTGGCTGGATAGGGTACATGGTCAAGTCTTGGCACATTGGCTGAGGTGGCTGCACGAGGTGAAGGCCCGTGCATACAAGTTCGATCAAGCTCAGTGTTCTGAAAGCTCTCTCTTTGTCGTACCGATGCCTTCATGACCGCTGCGTGATAAAGCCACGACCGAGTTCATGTTCGATACTTGCTCCTTGCAAATGCAACAGGTGGCTTGCAGTTTGTGTGATGCCCATGGTCTCCGCAGGCACACTCCGTCAAAATGTCACAAAAAGCCCGCAGACGAATCGGGGATGAAGGCGCGCGCGAGCAGTCCGGAGGATGCTTGCAATTACCTTAACGTTTGCAGGCACCACCGTGAACATCTCGATGGGCGCCACATCTTACCGCGAGGATGCTTGGTGGGGGCTGGGGCTTGGAAATCACATGCTACCCCACGAAGCACTGGAGCCAGCAGGAGCATTGACCAGCGGTCCTCGTGCGCGCAGCTTTACAGTGCTTCAGTTCAGCAATCGTAACCAACCAAACCTGCCATTCAGCCCTGTCTGATGTCTCTGTTCCAAGCCCTGATGCCGTGTCAGACGGACCCCGGCAGGTCAGAAAGACTCAGTGATCTAGCACATGTTCCTTTTGGCGTTCTCAATGTCCTGCAGTTTGTGGCAATCCCAAGCTCACACTCGGCAAGTGTATCGGTGCCGTGAGACACACACACACACACACGCACACATGTCGCTTTCAGGATCTGTGAGTTGGGCAGCAGTTTGTGCCTTGTGCATCCACTGTATTCCCTGATACTTGTAGAACATAATGTGACGTACTATTTAAGTTACTACTTTACTATCGTCTTATTGGGCAATTTGCTGTGAGGAGGCTCCCGCGCCCAAAGCGAAGGCGAAGGCGAAGGCGAAGTCAAAGGTGACGAGTGATCGCTGGGCTGTGGAGCTGGCGGAAGCAGAGGCGACGCTCGGGTTGTTAAGGGGTTTTAGGGTTGAGGTTCAGGCCTTGAAGGGCTTAAGGTCTAGGGCCTAGGGCTTAGAGTTTAGGGTCCGGAGTTTGAAGGTTGTGACATTGTGGGTCTACGGTTTAGGCTTTAGTCTAAAGCTAGGAGTTTAGGGCTTCGGCTGAAGAGTTGAGGCTGACAAGAGTTTCAGGTTTGGGGCTCAGAGTTTAGACTTATGAGGTTAAGGTCTAGAGCTCAGGGTTGAGAGCATAAGGCTGACGCGTTTAAGGTTTAGAGTTTAGGCTGCAGATCTCAAGTTTCAGGAGTTTGGGATTTAGGCCTAGGAGGTTAAGGTTTAGGGCTTAGAGCTTAGGCTTGAGAGTGTAAGGTTTAGGAGTTCGGAATTTAGGGTATTGAGTTTTTTAATCTTAAGAGTTAAAGTTTCGGATTTGGAGCTTAGGCTTGAAAGTTTAAGGTTCCGGGCGTGGAATTTAAGTTTGAAGAGTTTAGAACTTCGGCTTAGGAGTTTAAGGTTTAGGGTTTAGAGTTTAAGCGGGTTTAGGCTCAAGATTTCAAGGTTTGGGAGTTTAGGGTTTAGGCTCAGGAGTTCAAGGTTGATGGTTTAGAGTTGAGTTCAGGCTTGGGAGTTTAAGGTACAGGAGTTTGGAGTTTAGGGTTTGGCGTGTAAGGTTGTGGAGTTTAGGGTTTGAGCTTTCGGAGTTTTGGGTTTAAAGTTAAAGGCTCCGGGTTCGGCGAGTCCTGTTTGCGAGGCCTGTGGCGGCACGGTCCGCTTCATGCGCCCAAGAGGGACGCCGAAGGCGGTGTGTGTCTCATCTTTCCCGTGTACCTTCGGGTTAACCGCGTGTTCTGGGTTTTTTGCGGCCGGAGATAGGCAGGAGGAGCAAGGCAGAGAGCACAAGCATGAAGGAGGCAAAGGCAATGGCTCATCGCCAAGCAGGCACCAGACCAGATCCGTGAAGAAAACCTGAGAGAGAGTGCGTTGGGCTCCACCTCTCAGAATTTTCTAGGATGTTTTGGGGCTTGCACAATTGCGTCAGCTTGCACTGATCTCTGCAGGATCCGATTTGTATTAGGGATTCAGCAGCGGAAACCTGGAATTGATCTGTTGACCCGTGCCGTGGTATGCTTTGCTTCCTGTCGTCTCATTGTCGAAACCCAGACGCAGCCAGGCCAGAAATATTGGTGGAACTACGTTGTGTCTTTCCATATATGCCCAACTCAAGCCACAAGTCTGCAGATCCGAAGATCCATGGCAACAGCACAGCTGGTCTGCCACTGGCCTGCTGTGTCCCGGATGTCGGTTCACGTTGACTAGGCATGCATTTAGTCGCATCATGACGCATGAGTGTGTGTCAGCGGGTGAATCCTACTTTGCTGCTGTGACAGCACACGGCTGACGTGTAGAACAGTTGCTGCAGGCGCCGGAGGAGGGCGACTGGCCGAAGCTGCCTGTTGGGGCCCTAGTGAGCAGGGTAGCTGCGCTTGAGTGAGTTTTGGGGTTTGAGGGTTTGCCTTCTCCGCCGTCCTTGCGCAAAGCTTCCGAAACCTTGCCAGCGTTTTCTGCTGTAAGGTTTCGTGGGTTCAGGCTGTTGAGGCTTTCTGGGTTTAGGAGTTATAGGGATTATAGGGTTTAAGATCATACGTCTTGCGTCTTGAATGTGAGGGGCCACTCTGACCAGCACGCATCAGGACGGTCCTGGGAGTTCGAGCATCGATGACGAACTGGAGACTCGGCCCGGCCCACGGCGGTTTCATGCATAGGGATATCTCCGAGCCACGGGCCCCTCTGAGCTTACCATCCCGACCTCATTGGGGAAAGACCCCTCCCACCTCACCCGATCTCTGATCCAGCCACATTCCAGGTATCCTCCGCGTTCAGTGCCAAAGCCTCGAGCCAAAGCAAAAGGCTCAGCAAAGGCCGACAGGCACCCGGGCGAAGAGAGTATCGGTTTTGGGACGATTTGGGGCTTACGTACTGGCCTGCACATGACCGAGCATGTCATCAAACCTGGACAGGCCGGCAGCAGCACCCGTAGCGCCGCCAGTGCCAGCGACTGCCACGAGAGCAGCCGCACCGCACCCGGTGCAGAACAGAGAGAGCGAGGCGCCCTTCGTCTCCCTCCAACCCACGGTGCCTGAGGTTAAAAGTATCAATGCTTCCGAGGGTTGGACTCCAGTAACACATCCTGTGGCAATTTCCCGGGACCATTGGCTTAAATCCCTGGTGCCCTCAGTGTTCAAGAACTTGATCCCGGATGATTTCGCAAGCAATGGTCCCGCGGTGCACGTCGATCATTTAGTTTGAGAAAGCTCGAGAAAGCATTTTGGGTCGCAAATTGTCGTGGAGGCTCATGCGGCTCTGGCACGAGTCCTTTCCGTGGCCGTTCAGCGCATTGACCAGCGACTTTGCTGCAATCTGGGGGTGCGCGTCATCCAGTCGGTGTAGGAGTAAGTTGCATTTACAGCACGACCGTGTTTCGCTGAATTTCTTGGACTGACACTTTCATGGCACGTGGGCTGCCATGCGTGGGTAAACATGTCCGAGTCCACATGACCTTCGATTCCTTGAGTAGGGTTCAACTTGAGGACCTTGGCTTGGAGACATAGCCGGATGTAGCGTCCCATCCTCCGATATGGCATAAGTGCTGGAGCCCCACTGGGAACTCGATGGAACTCAGACAAGTTACAGTGGATTGATGCAAATCAGCGAAAACCCAAAGAATCGCGAAATCCAAGAATCAACGCGGTCAGAAAAGTGGGCGGAGGCAAGATGCAAGGCTGAATCCCCGGCTAATACTGTATGATTGACTAAGACTAAACAACCTCAGGACTGGAATCGACCAAGTTGTCGGTCTGGATCAAGAGGCGCGGACAGACTGTGCTGCAACTCCTTTCTGTTCACAAGACAAAGTTGCTCATGTGCCCCGGGCACGTCCAGGAGTATCGGGCAAAGAATCGACGCTTCAAGCGCGACCTGGAGGCCATTGCTAGTGGAAGTGTGACATGGAGTCTAAAGTGAGGAAGTTGCCTGGCACTCTTCTGCAGCCGGAGGGGTGTTGCTCATGCTTGGGACACTTCGGATGCCGATCTTACATCATACCTCCTGGCGCAGGAGCAACTTGGTCCAGCAGAGCTAACACGCTTCAAGGACGGGCCTTGTGACCGCTTTTCGCCGCTCACAGTGCTGTTGGCCTTCGGCGTGTGAACATGCCTTGGTATGTTCACCTACAGGAGTGCTCAATGCAATATCGTGAGTCCCTCCGGGATGGTGCTGGTCCGAGAGCAGCAGAGACCTATGCTCAGAGGCCCAGTACCCATGCTCGACCGCGCTTGATGCAGATGAACTTCTAAAGCCATGTTTCAGGGTGGTCGAGGTCTTCACCACGACTTTGGCACGCTCCGGCCTCCTGTCAATAGTGTAGAGTCCGGTTGGCAACGGGTATGTTCTTCCGATGTTTCCTGATTGCGCCGAAGCACTCGTCGCTGCACGCAAGACTTCAGGGATCAGCTCTAGCCTGTGCAGTACCAGGACCGGCACGAGCACCAGCACCAGCACCAGCACCAGCACTACTACTACTACTACTACTACTACTACTACTACTACTACTACTACTACTACTACTACTACTACTACTACTACTACTACTACTGCTACTGCTACTGCTACTGCCACTGCTACTGCTACTTCTACGGCTACCGCTACCGCTACCGCTACCGCTACCGCTACCGCTGATGCAGCAGCAGCAGCAGCGGCAGCATGGGCACGCTGATCAGGCGAAGCAGTGGCTGCTGAGCTGTTATGCGACCTTGTGTTGCTGCTGCCGGACCCGAGACGCATGGTTATGCATGGGCTCCGAGCTCTCGCATCTGTGAGCTGCAGTGAACACAGCCTCAGAGGCTCCAAGAGGTTTCGTCCGATTCTTTGGCAGGACCAGGTCCCTCGCCATCTTCTTCGAGATGCGCTGGCGCAGCTCTGTGGTGAGGCACGCCTGGGTCTGACGACGGCTCAAGCGCGGTAGAAACTGACAGCTTGTTATGGAGGAGGAGGAGGCTGCTGAGGAGCGCGCGGCTCCTAGCAGCTCAAAGAAGGCAGCCAAGGCGAAGGCTGCGAAAGCGGCGAAGGCGAGCTCAGTCTCATCCACCTCCTCGGCAATGCTTCCGAGGTCCCCGCGATCCACCATCAGTTGTGTTGCTTCGATGCTGTTCACTGCAGAATTTCTTTCAAGTCGGATGGAGGCATCTGAATGACAAGATTGAAGCCATCCCACTGAGCCGGTCCAGCTGCAGAGGCCGAAGCTGCCTTCCTGACTTCCGGATGTATAGTATAGTGATCCTTTGAAGAGGAGAAAGCAAGCCCAGCTTCTTGGCCTCCTTGGATGCCGTGCTCAACGTCATGGCGGAAACGAAGGCCCTCTCCCAAGTAGATGGGAATATCTGATGTTTGTGATCATCTTTGCAAATAAGCCTCATGTCACAGAGTAACGCTTCACATCCTCTCTTCTGCCTTTCCCTCCGGGCCTCTCTGATATATATGTCCTGATAGGGCCCATTGGTCATACAAGTCATACAAGTAGAGTTCATAGACAAAGACACTTGTCATACCAGGGCATCAGATAGACGGTGGAAGGCATTGTAGGACCGTATTCTACCTTCCCGAACCTGATTTGCTTTAACCTCCTCGCCTTGATCACTGGCCTTTCCGCACTTTCTCCAACCACCCCTCCTACCACCCCTCGTCTTCGCAGGTCTTGTTCCGTCTCCCCTTCTTTTTCTTATCGAAAGTCATACCTATATAGGAGTTTCAGAAAATGGAGGGTCGGGGTCCTGTATGGGTCCTAAGTAGTGGGATCCTTATTGTCTCAAGGACACCCCCCGCAAAGACCCCTACATTGCTCAAGCCCACATGTGCGCTGCCAGAGCGATGCATCTCAGGAGCAGGCGAAGCTGCCGCTATCTCAACAGGCAAGGTGCTGTGCTACCACGTACTATCGGGGCCTGAATATTAAATCATGTTGCCCTTTAGCGTTCCTTGCTACAAGCGTCGTATAGAAACCCTAGAGGCCCTAGACTGACGAATAAAGCCCCTTCCATTATGCTGTTTCGGCTTTCTTGTGGTAGAGGGTTCCGTGTGTGTTCGGTGTGTGTTCCGGCCTTGTGGCATGAGCAGAAGGAGAGTCAAGAGGTACTGCTCTCTACGTTCCTCTCTTGAGTTTCGTTGCGCATGACGTACTGGTTACATACATGTTACATGCTCACGTGCAAGAAGTATACATGTTGTCATGAAGGACTTGGGGGTGGGTTGTATGCAGTACACGAATACATGCACAGAGGCAACGATGCCGAAGTGACCCGATCTCGTACGTGGCCCTAACCAGAGGCATTGAGACGAAGCGTGAAGCTTCTCGATGCTCCTCGGAATGGAATTCAAGTGCGTGGTTCTGGCAAGCGTCTACAAGTGAACGCGTCTCATGTGACACGATCGATCAATTAATCAACAAAGCAAGCAGTCAGTTTATAGTTAAAAGGCACAGATATCACTATGACCAACACTTTTTTGGGGGTTCCTTATTATATTTATGGAAAAGTATACCCCAAAGCCCTTTAAGTTTCCACACGTTGGCCTGCCTGAGCCAAGGCTACCCAGGCCAGGTGCATCTCTGGCGTGCGCACGAGTCGGCACAGCATTGGTTGGCAGAACATGCCGAAGCTCCATGCATGTCTGTCGGGGCGAAGCTATTGCTTACTGCCGGCTTAGTTGAAGCATGTGTCAGGGCTGGGCTGCCTCTTCAAGACATTCAAGATACTCCGAGAGTTCTCTTAGTGCTGTGCCTGGGTCAGGCAGAGTCGCTGCAATTGCTGCACCAACATCTGGTGGATGCGGGGGGTTCCTCCCTGGTCTACGAGCCGATGGACCGCCTCTCCGCCCCAATGGTGCTTAGGGAATGGCGGACTGGATCCCTATAGCAGCCCCTATATAATCCCCAACAATGGTCCCCATAATCCATTCCCCCATTCCCTACTAGAACCATAGAGACTATCTGGGCGGGGGCGGGGTGGGCGCTCTGAGACAGTTTTGCCGAGCCTAGCGCAGAAAGGAGACGGGCCCTTGAAAGACACAAGGGTTTAGGGTTTAGGGTTTCGGGTTTAGGGTTTAGGGTTTGGGGTTTAGGGTTTAGGGTTTAGGGTTCAGGGTTTCGGGTTTAGGGTTTAGGGTACCCTATACCCTAAACCTTAAACCCAGTCCCACGAGGTCTGCTGGCTTTGAGGCCTCTGCTGCTTCTGAAGCTCCAGGCCTGGCTGGGCTACCCGTTTCGAAAGATTTCGGCTCATTTGGGAGTTTCCGAAAGTTAGGGGGTACCTTATTTGGGATCCTTAAAAGAGGGATCTACTATTACTACTATGAAAATTTAGGGTGCTGTATTAGAGTCCCCCATTTTCGGAAACTGCCATTTCCTGCCAGATTTGCAAACTCTCCTCTCGAATTTCATCAGTGTCGTTGCACAACACGCAAATGTGACGAAAACGAGTCTTATGCTTCCCTTCCTGAACCCGGGAATCATAAACTACATTGGCACACGATGGACCTGCCGGTATGGCCCCTTGCCCATCATCGGCCATGCGGTTGGTTTGTTATCGTGGTAGTTGTTGTTCGTCTTCGGTGTGGATGATGATAATTCTGCTGCTGCCTCCTGGTTCGTCCTGTTGTTGCTTCGGGGGAAATGGTCGTGGTGGTGAAGTGTCTGAAAGCACTTGGGTAGTGTTTCAAATTGATTCCTTTATGGATCCCAGCACAAGTATGTCGTGGTTTGCTTCGTCGTCATACGTTTGCTCGCCCTTACTCTTACTCGTACTCTTACTCTTCCTCTTACTACTACTACTACTACTACTACTACTACTACTACTACTACTACTACTACTACTACTACTACTACTACTACTACTACTACTACTACGACTACTACTACTACTACTACTACTACTACTACTACTACTACTACTACTACTACTACTACTACTACTACTACTACTACTAGGCCGTCCCCCCCTGGTGCGACGCCGGTCGCAGAGTTCTTGGATGAAGATCATGTCCCATGGCAGGATGCTCTCCAAACCCAAATGCGCTAGACCATGGACGTCATTAGGTTTTGGACATGGATGCTCTCCAAACCCAAATGCGCTAGACCATGGACGTCATTAGGTTTTGGACATGGATGCTCTCCAAACCCAAATGCGCTAGACCATGGACGTCATTAGGTTTTGGACATGGATGCTCTCCAAACCAAATGCGCTAGACCATGGACGTCATTAGGTTTTGGACATGGATGCTCTCCAAACCCAAATGCGCTAGACCATGGACGTCATTAGGTTTTGGACATGGATGCTCTCCAAACCCAAATGCGCTAGACCATGGACGTCATTAGGTTTTGGACATGGATGCTCTCCAAACCCAAATGCGCTAGACCATGGACGTCATTAGGTTTTGGACATGGATGCTCTCCAAACCCAAATGCGCTAGACCATGGACGTCATTAGGTTTTGGACATGGATGCTCTCCAAACCCAAATGCGCTAGACCATGGACGTCTGGACACAAACCAAATGCGCTAGACATGGACGTCATTAGGTTTTGGACATGGATGCTCTCCAAACCCAAATGCGCTAGACCATGGACGTCATTAGGTTTTGGACATGGATGCTCTCCAAACCCAAATGCGCTAGACCATGGACGTCATTAGGTTTTGGACATGGATGCTCTCCAAACCCAAATGCGCTAGACCATGGACGTCATTAGGTTTTGGACATGGATGCTCTCCAAACAAAAGATTTGAATGAAAATCATGATCAAAATGAGGCCCAAAAAACCTTGATTCTGATCGCTAGGTTTTGGGCACGAAAATCGAGACACCCAAAAACAGTAAAAAAACATGAAATTCGCAAAGACAAGTGCTGTAAATACCAGCATTTTCGTGTGCGACATTGATGAACAATGTTAGAAAATATGATAAAAATACACACGAAACCAGGAACAGTTGTCACTTTCAATAACTGCGGAAAAAAAGTGCTGTAAAACACAGCATTTTCGACCACAGCAAGTCCCAAAAATAAGAGGTTTGGGCGTCGCACCGGGGGGGGCAACCCTACTACTACTACTACTACTACTACTACTACTACTACTACTAACTACTAACTACTACTAACTACTACTACTACTACTACTACTACTACTACTACTACTACTACTACTACTACTACTACTACTACTACTACTGTCAATTGAGACAGGGTGCTGCTGCCAGCTCCGGAGCCTTGGCAGCCGACCGAGCCCGAAGTTGGTGGGAATGGAAGGCTACGTCCTTGGAGATCGGGGTGCGGAATATTTAGGGTTTAGGGTTTATGGTTTAGAGTTTAGGGTTATCTTTGTTAGTTGAATAAATTGTTGCTTTCTTGTGAGGTTGTGATGAGGGCGGGGCATGAGGCAATGCTATGGTTTTCAAGAGTCAGCATGATTCGCATGTGTTGTAGAGTTGCGGAGCTAGTGCTGCAACGCAATGCAGCATTACAGAAACTATGCAATAGCACCGGAATGGAAACCTTTGATACAAGACTACCAATATTGCGAAAAATGATTACAACGACACGCAGAAGAATAAGAATGCATGAATACTGCAGTGGTAGTAGAGTTTTAGCAATACATGATGTCGATCGCCCAGAGCCTGCAGAGCAAGACTAGCTGGCTTCGAGAGGCACGGCTTTTGGTCAGCCGAGAACCTAGCCTCAAATTGTATATTAATTACATCTACTACATCTACTATCTTCACCTATGCTTTACTTTACTATATTATGTTTTGATATGTTGCTGTAGATTATCAGATTTTGTTACTACAATATATGATGTCATGCTAGATGTTGTAGTATATTACATCATATTACACTGTTACATTTTACTAGACTGTATTACAGTATATTACAATATGCTGTTGACATGATATGACATTGTATCAGTTTGTGTTTTACACATGAAATGTGATGTCGCTTTGCCCGGGACAGGAAGCGGCGGCTGCAGCGCTACTCCGCTTGGGCAGCCAGGAGTTTCTCTCAGCAAAGCCACGGTGTATGGCGTGCAGTGGGGCAAAAGACAGGAACAAGCACAACAGAAGAATCAATAGGAGCGAGAACATTCTGTAGCAAAGGAGCCAACTATCGACAGCGCGACGAGGTGTCTCTAGCACAGAGAGCAGTCAGAATTAGGAGAGCGTCATGCGCACGCATCCAATCGAAGTCTCAGTTGCCAGGAGCGACACTGTGTCCAGATACTGGCCCTTGTTGGAGATGTTTTTGGTTAGTACATTTTACCTCAAAAAGGAACAACGATCTGAAGTCTTAGAAAGGGGCTCCAAGAGCAGCTACAGCTCAGGATATACGTATCTCTGTGCCTTCGTCATCTCTACGAGCAAGAGCCCGGCTGGGATGCCAAGCAGTTGCGGCCACGACTCGTTTACGAGTGCACGATGTAAGCGGCCAGCGAGCGCAGAGTGAAGCTTTAGGGTTTAGGCTCTTCGGCTTTGGGGCTTCGAATCATGAATCACGGACATCTAGTTGCAGCTCACTACGCTTGCACTGGGAGTTCTCTTCCAGCAGGCGCTTGGCACCAGCTGAAACAGCGTGGTTAAGTGGCCAAGGAAGCGCTGAAGGCGCCGCGGGTTACCCAGCTCAAGCACCGGCAAATCCAGCTCCACAGCTGCGGCCTCGGCCACAAGTGCACTGCTTGGGCTGTGGAAATGCTGTGCTTCGGAACGATGGACAAAGGCAACCCGTCGCACCTGCATGGAACAGGCCAGACCGTCGGCAGAACATGGAAGAGATCTCGTCATGCCGCTGTCCTCTTCGGTAGCTCAGAGTAAGAGCGAGAGACAGAGACAGAGCGAGAGAGAGAGAGAGAGAGCATGGCTCCCGCGGGGGCTCGCCCTCAGGCCCGGAGAAAGAAAGAGAGAGCCTGGGGACCCCAAAAGCCGGCCGCCCAACAAAACCAGAAGCAGTCGAGCGGGCCGGCAGAAAGAAAGAAAGGGAGAGAGAGAGAGAGAGAGAGCGCGGGGGGGCAGGGTTCCGCGCTCTGCTTCCCACACGCCTTGCAAGCAAGCAAGCAAGAGAGAGAGAGAGGGCTGTGGCAAGGGCGCGCGCAGCACCTGTGTCGAGCGACTTCCCAGCGCTGCCGAGCAACCAGCTCCAGCCGCCTTGCACAATTAGCAGAAGGAAAGACGATCGGTAAGTGTACTCGTGCTTTGGTTAAGCAGATGATTCAGCTAAGGCCGCGGCCGAGACAGGCCAGTTCTGGATTAACAGAGGGTGGTGCTTGGGTTGAATCTTTACGTACTTACCACCAACATCTACATTTCGGCAGTAAGCATCACTGGTTCGAAACTGTGTTCAGCATCAAGAACTTCCAGGAAATGAGAATATGGTATCGTCAATAGAGAAGCTACGCGCTGACGACGGCGGACCGTTTTCGCGGCCTTATGTCAAACACTTGTTTCATTCCCGAAACTTGTTCAGACTTTGCCAGGCACGAGCTTGATGGGGGAGTCAGGCTGCTGTGATCGGCCAGCGCTGGCTTCCAGCCTCTGTGTGAGGCTTGCCAGTCAGAGAGCTAGAGCCAGGGCTTAAAGGCTTATGGCCCAAGAGGGTGCGTGCTTGTGGCTGGAAGATGACGCCAGTAAGAAGCTCGCGCCTCGTTGAGCTGTCTGTCGGCCCAGGCAAGATGCGCAAGTGATAACCTGGTGTGACCGGGTGCTGAAGTTAAGGGGAGTCGGCCGGCAAGTCTGATGCTAAAGCTTTTGAACGCTGGAAACGTAAGAGTAGAAAGTCGTAGGGGCGACTTCGCTGGCATGAGCGAATCCCTTCTCTGGAGGTTTGCGGCTTCCAGAGGGTTCTTTGAAGTGATTGACGAGAATCCAAGTTGCAGCAGCACATAAGCATCAGTTGTTTTCTGATAGAAGCACGCCAAGACAAAAAGCTCAATCATGTGCGTAAGCCTGCCTTGGTGAGTCGTGTTGAGCGCTGCGGGTGCGCGATGAGAGAGAGACATTGCTCAAATCTCGCCGCAGAATGGCTGTCTCCTGAGGGTTCATAAGCATGAGCACGAAAGGGGTCTTGCTTCGAGCAATGTGTTTCACTTGGGAAGGTGCGCTGCTGAAAACATGCATTGTTGGACCGTTGCGAATGCAGTCCGCCCATTCATAGCAACAGTCGACAAGGACAGTTGCACAAGCATGCAGCATCTTCGTGGTGCTACGTTGATGATAGGATCACAACATTTGAAGCACACGGCTCGTTGCTTCGATGGTTCAACCGGTCCAGCTTAGTTTAGCTGCACAGGAAGCATGAACACCAACAGCGACTCCTGCAGCTTCTTAGACCTGCCTATGCATGAAGGTGTAGACGCATGAAGGTGTAGCAATCCGTTTGTTAGGCGTTCGCTCGATCGTTCCATGACTCGGAATCTCTATCAGCTGAAAGTTTTGCTGCAGCCCGGTCTTGAGTGCGCATGGACCACTATGAGGGATATGAGGGCGAAGGCCAGAATGTCTGAAGCCAGCTCCCGGCGCCCACCACGAGCTGCACAGCTCCCTCCGCCAGCTTGCAGTAACTTCGAAATCGGGTGCTACTGTGTGGGTATCTTTTGCCAAATTGCAGGCCATTCTCCTGTTGGCCGTGGTGAGCCTCGCAAGAGCAGGAAAGAAAGGCGGCTGAGTTGGCTGTGACCGCGCGGGGGGTTGCCTGAAGCTGCACGAAGCCTTTTGTGGTACTGGTGGAACCTGCTCGCTCCATGTGTTTGCAGCAAAGCTGAGATGAAGCGGATTTCTTGCGACGCCCTGTGTCAGTTTCGGTGAAAGAAGTCGTGTTCGATAGCGCTGTGTCGGACATCCAGGCGCACGGGTTTTGCAGTGAAGTCTCGGTTTCCAGTAATGGTGCATGAACAAATTGTCATGGGCCAGTGCTACTAGCACGGCTTGAAGCCGTAGTCAGAATGGAAGGAATGCATGTTTTGGGTTGCTGACGTTGAGCGGCGCTGCTACTATAGCAACAGGTTGCGGCAGTAGCTTCACTTGTTCATTCGCGCAATGATACAACAGGTTGTCAATGCAGCACCTGACCTCCCCTGACAGTGGCTGGGTGAAGACCAGAAGACCGTCATCACGCAGACTACGAAGGGGACCGCCCTGCCAAGTGTTGTCAAAAATGTAATTGGGGAGAGCCACGTCAGACCTTCAAGGTAGCGATGCACCCGTGTGGCACGGGACACTCGGTACATTTTTTGCTCATTTGATGCGAGTTCGGATGCCAGGCGCTTGTACCGCAGTACCAACGGCGGCGAAACCTGGAATGACATCACAGACTACTTCAAAGGCGGGCAACACCTAGGTCGTGTTTGTAACTCGAGCCGTTGGCATCTTGGGTTTTGTGTGGCAGGGGTCACATGCCAGTTGTCTATCATTATGTGCATTGGCTCCTCTCAGGAATCGCGCACCGATTTAAGCGGATCTAGGAATCTAGGAGGTCCAGCTCGCAAGTGAGCTGTTGAATCTAATTCGCACTTGCACTTTCACTCGCTGTGATACTGTTGAGCCTAGCTTTCCCTCATCATGACGCCTGTGTCGCCCTGAAAAGCATGGAAAACCCGCCCCCTAGCAGCCAAAGCCCTACACCCTGGACTTGCCTTTCCAGTCGATGTCCCTGGCTCGGCTCCGTCTGAACCTTAGCCTGCTTGCCAATTTGGAATGCCGAAGCCGGCTGCGGCTGCCTCAAGAGCTTATGAAGCGTAGAGGAAAGAACACGAGAGCAACGACGATGAGCATCAGTTGATACTTGGAACTTAGAATTCAGTCGTAATGATAATGGTTCAATGATCCTCCTGAACCATAATCATGGAACCACTAGCGATCAGAGGGCGATCTCACCCCGAGGCAGCCATTCACCGCAGAATCGATGTCCAAGAGCCCGGCCGATCCGAACACAATCCTCGTGTGGTCCTCAGCTCCGTTTGGGCTTAGGATTTGGGAACTTAAAGACTGGGATGTAGCTTGATGTTCTCCTATCCATCCGGAGCAGGAGCTGTCTGCTTTGGGATTTATGGTTCAGGATGGAAGGTGCCGGGTTTTGGATTTTAGGGTTTAGAGTTTTGGCTGTAGAGTTCATAGGCTGTTCTACGGTGGATGATATAAATCCTGCATTACCTTCAGGACCCTAAACTATGGGAATTATGGTATATTCCTTATTATGGGTAATGCAGGTTGTATATCATCAACAGTAGGGCATGAGAGCTTTTCGGTTCACTGCGGCGTCGGCCGAAGGAGCAAGAGATTCATGCTGGACGTTAGTGGGGATGGTGAATCGGTGACGATCCCTTCAAAAGAGCTGTTCAGGTTTCTGGAAACAAGAAGACCAACTTCATTTCCAGCAACAGGCCATGGTGTGGTCAGATGGATATTGAAATTGCAAGAAAAGCGTCGCAGAATGGCTGGTTTAGGCCAAGTTCGACCCATTTGGATTCGGGCTTGTCCTGTGGATCAGTTCTGCTGCCAGCAGAACTGTATCATCGCAAGCCGGTTTTGCCCCTCAGAATATTTGCTGCTGATTTGGCCCTGCATTACTCCGCACGGTACCAGACATTTCTGCTAACGCCTAATTCGCTAGATCGGCTCTAATGCCTGCGACCACTGCCAGGGGCTCGTCTTGGAAGAAGATCCGGCAAAGATCGCAAATCCACACAGCCACTTGGCGTGTGATTGAGATTCACACCGAATCATGCTGCTTGTAGTAGATTCGGGGACCAGTGTACAGCTGTTTGTGACCTCGTGTTTGCCATCTCCGGTAGCCACGTCCTCCCCGTTTGCTGGCTATGATCCGCCACTGCAACACACCTGCATCCATCTGTAAGATATCGTCTACTTGAGACATGCGGATGCGAGCATGGAGTCAAGAACCCTTATTGAATTTAATTGTAAGTTACCATAATGGGGATCTATAGTGAATGATATTTACTATGATTTCCTTATTGTGGTAAAGTAAGCAACAGGCACGGCCATAAGATTTACTTTGGACCTGTCAGGTGATGTTCCACAAGACGCGTGAGCCTTGATACGCTCCAGCTGCCCTTGCAGTGAAGAGTGGTTTCCGTCATGTTCTGTCTTTCTTGTAAACCATAGTTCGAAGAAGCATTCGTTTTCAGATGATCGTATGTGCGTAATTCATCGTCACGGCACTATTATACCACATTTCTGCGCGACCCGGTGACAGACTGTTTTTACGATGTTGGTGGACATCTGCGTTCCTTTCTTGTGGCTAGGTCCTTGTACATCTCATCCCGTGGCGTGCTTGTCCCTTTCACGCATTTCATGCCCAACTGGGCATTACATCAGCAGGATGAAAGTTTTGTCGCACTAAGATGTCTTTGCCTTGCGGAGGACTCGGAGTACGAAGAAGTGCATTTTACGTGGCGTGGCCAGCGGCGGAATTTCCATGCCAAAATGAACATACACTGTTTTTTATTCCGACGGAGGAATTAGTGACGTCCTTGCCTGACATCGCGACTTCGTGAAGGAGTCTATGGGGGAAAGGGGTTTGCAAGTATGTGTTAGCAGACCTAACGGATGCGACGAACTTTCGTCCTGGCGCAGCATGAATTCCAAGACCGCTAGTTCGGCCAGGCCAGCATGTGTGAAACCCGCAAAGCGACACACGGAGGAGGTCTTTTGGACGGGTGCTACTCGTTTTTAGTCGCGGGTGAGCATCAGCAGGATGAAAGTCTTGTCGCACTAAGATGTCTTTGCCTTGCGGAGGACTCGGAGTACGAAGAAGTGCATTTTACGTGGCCTGGCCAGCGGCGGAATTTCCATGCCAAAATGAACATACACTGTTTTTTGTTCCGACGGAGGAATTAGTGACGTCCTTGCCTGACATCGCGACTTCGTGAAGGAGTCTATGGGGGAAAGGGGTTTGCAAGTATGTGTTAGCAGACCTAACGGATGCGACGAACTTTCGTCCTGGCGCAGCATGAATTCCAAGACCGCTAGTTCGGCCAGGCCAGCATGTGTGAAACCCGCAAAGCGACACACGGAGGAGGTCTTTTGGACGGGTGCTACTCGTTTTTAGTCGCGGGTGAGCATCAGCAGGATGAAAGTCTTGTCGCACTAAGATGTCTTTGCCTTGCGGAGGACTCGGAGTACGAAGAAGTGCATTTTACGTGGCCTGGCCAGCGGCGGAATTTCCATGCCAAAATGAACATACACTGTTTTTTTGTTCCGACGGAGGAATTAGTGACGTCCTTGCCTGACATCGCGACTTCGTGAAGGAGTCTATGGGGGAAAGGGGTTTGCAAGTATGTGTTAGCAGACCTAACGGATGCGACGAACTTTCGTCGTGGCGCAGTATGTGCTGCACCATGTGTGGTAGGTAGCATTCTTTGCTGCACTTGTCTATAGCACTACACGTAGCTCTGTGTACGTTGACCTGTCGCAAACAGGCATTCGCCACGACCTTGCCCTGCATCATGTTTCCACATTAGCTTTATTGCTCTGCGCATATCTGAGCAGTTCATTCGGCCTTGTTTGCAATTGACGCTTCGAAGTTGCGCGCTCTTGGGCAACGGCATGCTGCATCTTCTCTTCTTATCATGACAGCCGATTCCCGTGCCATGTTGTTTCTTTGCGTAGGAGACGATGCTGCATGATATCTTGGTAGGTGGCAAGCTGCATCCGTGAAGTCATTGCTCGGACTTGAGGCGGCCAAGCTGGTTGTTGCTGTCGACGTGGACTAGCACATGCCGCTCTGCTGGCAGAACTCGGGTTTCGGGTGGGTGAGGCTTCTTCGAAGGGTGCAGCCGGCGTCTGGTATGCAGATCTCATTCAGTCGATCGCCGACGCATTTTTCATGTTGCCTGCACGGTTGGTCGTTGTTCCTGGCCTTTCTCTCATGTACTCGGAGCAACCGTGAACGGGCAGAGTCATCAGCTCGAGGCAACCGGAAAGACAAGAGTAGCGCCCCAGCGGAGGGCGAAGAGGATGGCGGTGGTGCCTCGGAGCATTGATCAGTCTTGTCCTATTTGCAGTCCTTTTTGGAGCCACACAGTGTAGCAGCCAGAAGTCCTACAGTGAAAGGTCCCTGCAACCACATGCTGTATCTCTCCAGAGACCTGGGCAAGACTTTCAGTCTTGTGTGCTGCCTGCCTGTTTGTGTCGGGGTGCATATGTCCAGATCGACTGTCTGGCCACCGAATACTGCCCGGTCAGGTAGCAACAGGGATGCCTGGTTTGCAAAAGCTCTGCTTCCTTGACCAAGCTGCTGCTAGACTGACAAACAAGACGTGACAGTGTTTCGCACATGGCTGTTCCGTAAGCAAGACTGCTGAGCACCGAGCAGTGAAACGGTCGACTGCAAAGAACCACAAGCTTCTGGGGTCTGCGGCCGCTCGGCTCTTGAGAGACTTCTGGTGGAAATGTGCAAACAACAGAATTGGTCCTTCATAGCTCGGGTAGTTGGGTGATTGAGGTCTTAGAGTTTAGAGTTTAGAGCTACGGTTTGTGGTTTCGGGCACTTTCATTTACCAGCATGCATTCTCCGTAGTGTTACAGCTCGCCAGGCAGAATTACGTGGTGCAATTCAGCTGGGGAGATCCGTCCATGGGACAACAGGCTCGCTTTTGCCGGAAGCCTGCGCCCTGAAAGGAATTGGTAGCTAAACTATCCAATGAAGGCTTGTGGCCCAGCGACTGCACTAAACGGCGGGTTTGGGCATAGAGTTTGCCAGCTTGACTGCCTCCTCTGAACAGTTTTGCAGATCGCGCTGCATGTACTTGCCTTATCATGATGTATGACGACATATTGGAACGAAGCGCAATGCAGCGGGGCGAGCTGCAACACTGTGATGGTGAGAGCTGCTTTGGCACCTCGCCCAAGCCGATTCCGCATGCACCAGGTGAAAGTTGCTCATGATAGTACTCAGACGGGGCATGCTCCTTGCAGGACAGGATCTACTTCACGCACTTTAGAAAGAAAACCGGCGACCAGCCCAAGCTGTACATATGGGTGCAGCACTCGGAGTTCATGAGGTGAAAATCGCAAGACAGTACAGGGGCATGCATTTCTGAAGAATGAGAGTGCCTGTTCACGCACGGCCAGTCCAACGACGTGGATTTCGCGTATATGGAAGCCGATGGCAGAAGGCACGAGCATTGGCAGCACTCTGCAGTGGCAGAAATTCGGCGGCTACTCTAGAAGCTTTCTTGCAGATGAGTTCTTGGGCTTCAGACAGGTCAACCACTATGGTTCCCATGGGAAACAAGCGCTGGCCTTTGTTCAGACGGCTGGTGAACTCCAGCCAACATGGGACGCTGCATAACGGACTGCACCATTCCTCAGGTTTCTGGTGTCCCACAAGTTCATCTTCGTAGCCAAAGTGGTACACCCAGCACACCTAGCACACCAGAGCATGCCAGGTCTTGTCTTGGCCGCACTGCAAGCCTTCGCTGCGACACTTCCTGTTTTAATTTCGGGTTTCCAAGGTGAAGGACGTAACCTCCCAGACTGTGAATCTCATGGTCTCGGCAGATGGCGGTCGCTCCTTCAACGCTGCGCAGGCTGCAAGTTCTAGTAGATTGGTTTCTCTTCGGTCACACCAAGCACCTGCCCTTGGCTGTCATGTGTGACTGCGACTGCTCGGTACAACTGTTGAGATCACCTGCAGTAGCTGCACCGCTTCAGCTGTTCCGGCTTTCCCGCTGTTTGATCGGCAGTTGCCCACCGAAATTGACGAGAAGTCGTACACAGCCGCTGGACAAGCAATCAGATCAGAATTCAATTGAAGACTGTTTGTCTTTCTCTCCATGTGCCTATGTACATGTATCGTGTCGGCTGTTTGTTCGTGTGCTTTTGTCTCCGTGTACCGTTTAAGTGAGCTCTTCCTTGTTCGCGTCTCCTGCGGTGTGCCTCCGACAGTGCCGTTTCCAATCAATTGACTGTACAGTGTGCTGTAAGCTCGGACTGCTTCTACACATATTTTAATGCAATTAGATGTGTGTGTATATATATATATATATATTATATGCACATGTCTCTATCTACGCAGATTATATACATGCATTGCTTGTCTGTTTACGTGCATGCTCAACTGTCCAGCCGTCGCATGGACAGTTTCGGAACAGAAGTAGTCTCAGCCGACGAGAGTAAGCTACGCGGCTTTCACAAGCAAAACGTAAACATGCAACTAAGCTTATTAAAAGTGATGAGACGAAGAAGACAACAGCAAGGCAGGAACCTGTTACCAAATGGTATGAGCAAGCTCCATCTTGCAGCTCTGCCTCAGGTTTTGGACACTTCCGAGGGGCTGGTGATGCTGCATGTCAATCATGGAGCCAAGGAGGCACGAGGGTTCAGGGTTTAGGTTTGCAAGTTTATGGCATCAAAGCAAGGTAGCTCTTAGACATTGCACCACGTTTGCGAGCGTTGCGTTCTAGATGTCTGCAGAATCAAGTGGGGAACGTGTACATCTCAGATGAGAAAGGCCTCAGCCTCAGCCGCTCTTCGCCGATGTGAGAAAGCTGAAGAGTGTGACGGAGCTGTTAACAGAGAGGTGAAGGTCTGGGGTGCTTGCGTTCTTCCGTTTCCTTTCTTGCTCTCTTGCTGTCTCTCTCTCTCTCCATACATCTCTCTCTCTCTCTCTCTAAAAAGAATATATATATATATATATATATATATAATTATATTATATTATATTATATTATATTATATTATATTATATTATATTATATTATATTTTATTTTATTATATTATATTATATTACATTATATTATATTATATTATATTATATTATATTACATTATATTATATTATATTATATTATATATATAATATATATATATATATATATATATGCATATATATATACGTATACATATATACATACATATATCTATATATATATATATATATATATACATTCGGTCTCTCTACATACAGACACTTACATATGACTTTTTCTCTATGTACATATTTACACACACATATGCACTTACTGGTTTGTACTTCATGTAAGTGTCGCAGTGGAAGCCAGTGTCCCACCGGGCACTCGCCGCTTTGCAGACGGCCGAGGCTTCCGCTTCACGTTGTCCCTTCCAAACAACGTTCGTGGCACAAACGGTGACTGTGAGTTCGACAAGGCAGGCACCCGACTTCTTTAACTTTAAGATGGGGCAGTCGGGGTGTCTTTCCTCGGCCTCTATCTGCCGCTGTTCTTCCGGTTGCCCTTGCCGGCTTGAGTGCTGGTTGCTGGTCTGTGTGGTCTTGGGAGTGGTGACCATCGTGGTCGCAGTGGTGCTGCGTGCGCTGTCGTAAGTGAAGCGTGAGAGGTTCTGCAGATGACATGGGGAGTAGAAGTGACTCGAACCCGTTGGCAAGACAGTCGAAAATTGAAGGTGTTGAGCTTGGAGGGCGTGTACATGGCCAACTTCAAGGAAGCTCAGCGCACCCTGCAGTTTCTGCATGGACGGTGCAATGGACGGTGCAAGGGGAAACAGGAAGTGGAGTTTCAGTCTGCTTGAAGCCTGGCGCAAGAAGCAAGATCATCAGAGACTTCCAGCGTATGTGCACCCACCGAATCCTTAGACTCTGTCCCTCAAACCCCTAAACCCCAACCTAAGCTTTGTACCTGTAGGACATCCCACGTTCTGGAGACTCTGCATCCAGTGGGGCAGAAGTGGCCAAGGCGGGTCGCGGCAGTGACATTGCATACATACACATATGTGTAGAGCATATGCACATACATGCATATGCACATGCATTCTTGTATGTACATACTATCTATCTATCTATATATATATATATATATACGTATGAATGTCTATGTATGAATGTATGTATGAATGTATTTTTGAATGTATGTATGGATAGACGGATGGATAGACGGATGGATGAAGGGATGGATGGCAGGATGGCTGGACGGATGAGTTTCATGGATGGATGGATGGATGGATGGATGGATGGATGGATGCATGGACGGAGGGACTGAGTGATGGATGCATGTATGTATGGATGGGTTGATGTATTGTTATGGATGTACAGACGCATGTATGGGTGTATGAACATACACTCACTCATTTGTTTGCTTGTTTAACACTCATACGAGTACATATGTATGTGCAGTGCATAAGTATGTATGTGCTTATTTATTTATGCATATGTACATATGTGTGTGTAAAAATATATGTGTGGACTGCATGATCGTATAGACGTACTTGTATCGGTGTGTGTATATATGTATATATGTATATGTGTATATACTCTTCTATGTATATATGTATGCGCATGTTTATGTACATACATACATACATACATACATACATGCACTGGCTGAGTTGGCAAACCATGGGTCGTCGCGACTCTGCCAGGAAGCAGCAGCCGAGAGCGAAGCGCTGGAAGGCGAAGCAGCAGCTGGCACAGAGGCCTGGGTCATGATGTTTGGGGTTTAGAGTTTAGGGGCTTAGGGTTTAGGGTTTAGGGCTTAGGGTTTGATGTGATACGGCGGTCTAGGGCCCCCGGATGAAGTCACAACAACAACCAGGACCAGCATCACCATAGCCTAAATCTCAGCAAATGATAAAGCTTGTACTTGTCACCAGCCAAATGCAAAGCCTCATTTTGGAAATTCGAGTGCTCAAGCCATAGCCTGAGTACGAAACCCTCACCCCAGTCGTAGACGCGAGTGTTAACTCAGATGTCAATCTTGATGATGCCAACTTGCGGCTGCGGGCATGCGTGATGAGCGGCGCAGTTGTCACCCAGGTGGACAAACGGAGGGCTCCAAAAAACAAGGCCAAAGAAGAAAGTGTGGCCGCGGCTCCAGACGGTTGTCCTGTGCATCCCTGCACGACTCCGCTCTAGGGTCAGTTCTGCCGTGTTGCGAATCAGGCAGTTGGCAGACCGTTCCTGGTTATGACTGTTGCCTTTCTTAGGTTCGCACCGTCATCTCTTTCGACAAGGGCGGCGTATGGATGCGCTCTCAGACTGCTCCTGCAGTGCTTGCTTGTGAATCATGATGATGTCGTCCTCTCAAAGATGTCACCTTTTCAGTGCTGTCTTGAGCAGAATACCGCCAGATACTGTAAATATCAGTGTGAGGTCCTACCTGAAGCCTCCGCGCGTGGACTCCACTGGAAAGCAGATCGATTGCCCTCCAGACAAATGCTGGCTGCACTTGCCGCCCTGGCCTGTTAAGCTCAGTCGAAGTCCGTCCATAGAAAGGGTACCGAGAAGTTTAATTTCGGCTCCGGATCAAAGAGGTGTCTTGGTCAAGAAGTTCAAGAGTTGGAGGGAACGAGGGAGCCCCCCCAATCGCGCGAAAACGGCAAAAAACGGCAACGGACCATCTCAAAATGATCCACTCTGAGCTGCAGCACGATTGAAAACACTGCGATTCTACTGCAGCCTTTGCATGGCCAGGCACGGCATCACCAACTTCCACAACTATGCGTGGGGCACTCGGCACCTCAAACACTCAGAGACTGGCTCTGCTGCTTCAGCCCAAGAGGGAGTTTCCGACAATTGGGGTACCTTATTTGCTTATAATGAGGATCCTACTATTTAGGGTACTATTTTAGGGTCCCCTACTTTTGGAAACTCCCAAGTGCGTGCGGCAAGCACGAGAGGCCTTTCTACTCGACCGAGAATGCCATCGGCATCATCATGGGTGTGTGAGCTCAGACACTGCAAAAAGCTGAACGTAGAGCCTGACTTTGCAAGCTTGGGTCTGCAGCATCCGGTAGAGCCAACCTTTGAGACTCTTCAAGTCTTTTCAACAGCTCCAAGGCACCGGTAACGTTGGTCCGTACTTGCGCTTCGAGCCAGACCAGGCTAAGCCGGCTACGCCCTAGATTTAGTGGCTCGCCAGAGGGTGCTGTTCTACGTTTGTTGGGTGCAGAACTCAGCATGTGTTTTGTGTTGGCAGACCAACACCTACCTCTCCCGTGACGGTGGCCTCACGTGGCTGGAAGCACACAAAGGACGGGTGAGACAAGATGTCATTGCGCGGCATTCGCGATGCTTCTAGTGAGCTCCAGCCTTTGGTCGGTGTTTTGGGTCTGGTGCGATTTGAGAGGCGCTTTCATCTACGAGTACGGAGACCATGGCGGCCTTGTTGTCATGGCCGACGACGTGCGAAAGACGAAGCTGGCTGGCCACCCAGCGCAGAGCAGTGCTAGTACACCCCCGCCGGTCGCCTGCCGCCTACGCTGTCCACTGACATGAGAAGCTGTGAAACTGCTGCTTGTCCCGTGGCCCCGGCAACTTTCCTTCCACAAGGTGGTGTTTTCGTGGAACGAAGGGCAGAGCTGGTATGATTTTGAGCTCTCATCCATGCCCATCGAGGCCAGGCCTGTAGCTGCCAGATGCTGCCAGCTAGTCGCACAGGTTTCCAAGGATGTGCGAAAGGGTCTGGCTGTCCAGAAATGTCATGAGCTGCACTGATCTACCTGGTTCTAAATCCAAAATCTCGAGACCCAAATGCCCTGCGATCCTGCAACTGCACCGAGCCAGAGCAGGTAGACAACATCGTGACAGAGCCGAACGCGACTTCCACGAAGTTCCTCCTCTACGGCACACGCGGAGATACGGCTGCGTGGCATGTTCTGATTCCGAACTTCATGAGTGCCTCAGTGCGGGTGCCCCCTGCATACGCCTAGACAAGAAACGAAGCTCCTAAGCCAGGGAGTGATGTACCACCTGAACTTCGAGACCTTGGGGCAGCCTCTCTGCAAGGACAAGCCGTCTACCATAACCCAGGGTAGTTGGCGTTTTTGTTTCCCGAAGTTCTTCCGTTGTCTAGGGCCGTTCTCTGATCTCTACTAAAAGCCGACGCTCGTCGCGTTGGCCCCTGGGAGCTCTTGCTGGCACAGAGACGGATTCTTGCGTTTCTTCTCCGCCTCTTGTTCAGTCTCACTCTTTTCCGGGGTCAAGATGTACGGTAAACCTCGCTGTGCACCCACTGGTGAGAAATGCGCACTTTGCACGAACATCTGCGCATCTCCGATGAAATTTCTTCAGTGGCACGGAGTTTCAGTTCACTCCTGTGACTCTTGTGGAGCTGGAGTTGCCTCTCATTCTTGGTGATGTGTAAGTGTCCGAGCATGTTCCGTTCCGGCTCTTCAAGAACGGCACCTTCCGATTCAGCCACGAAAGCACAAGACTAATCCAACATGAAGGTATGGCAGGATTCGACATTGCTCAGTAAGCGACCTGCCACATCCGGCATCTAGACAAGCTTTGGGACCGAAACAGGGTGTCATTCAAATCGAAACATCCTTGCTCTCCCAAAAGCACTTCCTGATACATTTGGCACTGTGGATGCAACGATTCTGTGAGATTCGGTGTAACACTCGCAGCCTGCAGGGTGTTTGGGCCGCGGACTCCGTGTCTTCCGACTACGCTTCTTGGCTGTCCTCTGGGACACATTTTTTTGCGGGGCGCCGCAGCTTGACCTAAGGAAACCTGGAGTCCATCCGATGGCAAGAGCACTGAGAAGTGCCTGATGGGCAAGCAGGCATCGGGACTCATCGAAGACAGCTGAGACGATCGCCGAGATCGTGCCGGAATTCCTGATACTAATGCGCTTCCGGAGATGGGTTCGAGACATTGAAGTCGTAGCGCGATAAACCACATGATGGTCTTATTTCGCCTCGTAACCTCAGTGTTCTGTTTCCAGCATCTTGTAAGCTAGAGGGATGCCGGCAGTGCTCACCATGCAGCATTCAGACTTGGAACCCCGCCTTCACTTACAAAGCTGCATGGCCGCTTGAAGCTGCCTGAGTCTTGATGCAGAGTATGGATCGCAGCAGTTGACCCAGCGGAGTCATCATGAGAATTCATAGGTTGTCCGGTGATGAGATAGCCACCTTAAGTGCTCATGCGATCACGGAGCTTGCAACGGCGAAAGGAAATTCTGCCAAGGCTGTCAAGCGATACTTACAAGGTTTGCTTGGCATACCCATGTACAGACAAAGACTTCTGGCTGGAAACTTGCCGATTCGTGATGATGCCTCGTTGGGGCTATTCTCCTCTGAGGAAGTGCTGCTGGTTGTTCTTCCCTTTCAAAAAGCCACAACAAGGCAGGTAAAGGCGCTTCAAGTTGCAGCAGCTTTGGACCAGGGTGAAGAGATGGAAACTCTGCTTCAGCTTCCGCTGGATCCCGACTGCGTCGATGGCGAGAAGGGGAGGGAGGGGCGAAGTGTCCTTGGCGTGGCTGCCAGCCACGGAAGCAGGAGCTGCGTCCGCTTGCTACTCGAAGCCAGGGCGGACGCAAACAAAACGACGGATCTCTTTGGTGCCTCGCCTCTCTGGGCTGCGTGCAAAGGCGGGCACTTGGAGACTTGCCGGCTGCTTCTCCAGGCTGGAGCTGATATGGAGAAGCCAGCGATTACAGGCACTACCCCGCTTTGGGTGGCGGCCACTTACGGCCATGTGGAGACTGTGCGCTTCTTGCTGCGTGCTGCAGCTGATACGACCACGTCCAACAATGAAACAGGCGCGACGCCCCTCCGCATGGCCAGTGAGCAAGGCCATGCAGAGGCAGCACAGCTGCTGGTTTGGGCTGGCGCCGAGATGGACGCGGCAGACAAGGGCGGCATGACGCCATTGTGGGCAGCTGCGCGACACGGACACTCAGAGACCGTCCGCATGTTACTGCAAGCCGGTGCAGACATGGAGAAAGTAAACGGCTTTGGGACCTCTCCTTTATGGATTGCCTCAGCATGTGGCCACAGCGAGGTGGTGCAGCTTCTGGTATGGGCTGGTGCTGACTTGTGTGCGACAAACAAGCAGGGAGAGACCTCTTTCTGGATTGCTTCAAAGTGTGGGCATTTGAAAGTGATGTGTTTGCTGCTTCAGCCATCTGTCGGTATGGTGCCTTTCCGACGATGCTCCACGCTTTGCATGGGCATGCTGTCGCCAATCAGAGGTGTGGCAACTGGTGCCCATTCCTTGATGATCACGTTTGTTTCCTGCTTGCCGTGGGCGCAGGCCAAAACATGAATAGATACGAGGGCACATGTGTCGTGCACATATGTCTCCTGCTTCTGATACGTTGCGGTAACGATAGATTCGCAAGCCTTCGCGTGAAGACTGGTCGTCGAGGCCTGCCTCAGAAAGGCAGGCCTGGCTGCTCACTTCGTGCTTTGCATTCAGACTTGAAGGCGAGCTGTCTGGCTGCACGATCAGAATCAACGGACAGCGACCGAGAAGCCGCAAGCCCTGGCTGTTTGCCTCTGAATGCGGACGAGCTGGACTGCGACCGAACACCGGGTCCTTGACTATTTTGACGAGTTCCTTCTGGCATTGGAGTCGCTGGTCGTTTAGATTTGTAGCTAATTAATTTGTTGCCAAAGCGCGAGCCAGATGCATGTATTTGTCGTGCAACAGCCATCCCTCAGGGGCGAGGCGGTACCAGTAGCATGCAATGTAATTGACAGCTCAGCAAAGAGGTCTGCGCTTCCTTGTGCTTCGCCGGCGTAGACGTCGATCGTCGTATGTACTAGGTATGGGTATCCTATACTTGTGCGGCAGTGCCAAAAGCAGGGCATCACTGCACCAACAGGCGCGCATGTGCTTGAAAGCCAGGAGGTCGAAGTTCCGAGGACATGGGGGTACTGTAGGGTTGCTACTGCACGAGTTTTGTTTTGGGCTTTAAAGCGAGAGCGTTGCAGGCAGGACCTGCCCCGCCTCGTCGCCCGCTTCTGTGTGCAGGCGACATACACCAGACGAAAGCAGACTTCGGAATGCTTCAATGGCGAGAAGTTCGAGCGCCCAATAAGCAAGAAGGCCCGGCATTGCAAATCGGCAGAGCCGCAAAGCTGCAAGGCACGAGGTTGTCAGTAGCCAGCTGCTCTCGCGTGCTTCTGTCGTTTGCAAGCATGTTGAGAAGACCGCCTGATCCAACAGACCACTGTACGATGTTTGAGACTCTCGCCAGAATTTTGAGACTCTCGCCAGAATTGCGAATGCACCCAAGAGAACTTCGAGTGCGAAGTGGGCTTCACCCGTGCAGTCAGAGCCCAAGCCCGCTGAGTGCCACTGAAAAAATGCGGATCCGTGAGAAGCTCGCCTCCGTGTGTCTAAGGTTGGGTCCATGGATTGCAAGTATGCCGACGATGGGTCCATCAAGGCAGGTCACGTCAAGTTTCGCTGTTCTTCTCTGGATCTGCTTGGCGTGTGAGGGTTTCACCCTGTAATAGTGACCATAAGGATTATAAAGGATTATATTAGGGCCCTATTATATTCCTATTATACCACTATTACAGCTCCCCGACCTCGTCTCGTCGCATCGAACTTCTCAGCTCCTGCCTTCGGACGGTCGGTTTCTGGTTGTTTCCAAAGGGCAAAAAGGGGGCGCAGTCGATGGGAGCTTGGCGAGACCTTTCTGAGTCTGCTGACGAGAGCAAGAGCCGGAAGGCTTGCTGCGTTGGGGGGCTGATTGGAAGACCTCGCAGGTGCAGGAAAGCATAGGAAAGCCTCAAAACCACACCAAGCCTGGACCTGGACCAAGCCCAACAGAAAGATGGCTGCAACCAGCCGCAATTTCATAGCAACGGCCGCAAACACGGCTGACCGATGTCGCTGGGCCTGCATGCGGAGTTTCATGGCAGCAGTCGTAGGCGGTCCACATTATGGGGAAAAGCCTAAGCTCCAGAAAGAGGCTTCGCGATGAAGTGATCGCAGCATTTTCGCCGAGTGTCGCCTGCGATCATAGCCCTGAGTAGCATCATGTTGCCGGTCTCCTGCATGAGACACTCTCGTCTGTTGCTGGCCAGATCCCCTACAGCTGCGCGAGGAATGACCACTTCTTTGCTGTCAATGACTCAGCATGTCGCAGTATGTCCGGAATAGTCATGGTTGCTCTGATTTGGACATGTCTAAAGACATGACCTGCTTGACAAGATTCGTGAAAGCGATCCGCGCCTGGCAGACTGGCTACCGCAAAGTCGTCGGAGACACTTGTGAGGGCGGCTGGCAGCCACAACAGGCAGTTGCAGCCACCAGTCGCAGAGATTGTGCGATTCTTCAGATCTTTTTCTTCGGACAGTCGAGCGACATGTAATTGGAGAGTAACGCAAGCAGCTGAGCAACTTAAAGGAACGACTCGCAACAGAGAGTATCAACCTATTTTCGCTTGTGCAGGTGGCCGTGCCTTGTCCCCCCAAACCGATGAGCAAAGGCAGGGCCGGATATCGGAGATCTCTCATCGGTGACATCATGTGGAGCTTACGCGAGTGCAGTGTAGTAACATGATTTGTCGGATGTATCTGACCGAGCATAAAACGACAGACCAGCAAAGATGCTAGCAAGGCAATGCTCTGTACGTTGCAGGTGGTACATGTACGGATGCCTTAGAACCCGACGTAGATGAATTTGGTGTGAAGGTGCCTGGTCTGTTCTCGGAGCCCTAGGAATGCTGGCAGCCGGACCCACAGCAAGGGCATGACGCACAAACCAAGCTTGTGTTCTTGACTCCTCACCTTGGGAAGCCTACCGTGCTGTGGTTGATATTCGCCAAGCAAGCAGACACATTATCAATGTGCGAGGTAGTGCTGTTCGCCGTGAACTATTTGCCTGGCCCGCAGTCGTTCTTTGGAGCGGAACCTGCCTTGGGGCCAAATCCGTCTCACCACGTTTGTTCCCCTAAATGCTCAATGTGTCGTATTGCATCAAGGAGCGGATCAATCCCATAGTCGAGCTGCCCAGCCCACCCTTCTCTACGCAGCTTGTGATGTGCTTGTGCAGCTCGATTGGTTAGAGAGACCGAAGACTGGATTCCAAGTGCACATGATGTCGGACAGACACATCGAAAAGGGGAGGTGTGGGAAAATTGGGAGCAAGCTCAGATGAGCGAGCGGGGAGCGTGGACAGACGGTGCATTGATTTTCACATCGCTGGTTCTCGACATTGCTGCCGATCGCAGTTTCATGACCGGCAGTCCTGGATTTGCCTGTCGGACGTCGAAGACCACCAGGCAACTGAAGATACTTGCAACAATCAGGTGTCTCCTAGTATTAGAACTTGGGGTAGATTTCTGGCTTGACAATCCTCGCGCATGCCACTCAAGTTGGGTGGCTGCTGCTGAGGTCTCAGAACGACCGCATGAAGGGCGTCTTTGCAAATTACGGCACGCGTGCCAGCGATGGATGTTGCGGTGCTGCAAAGCGTGTGCTTCGGAGACGAGGGCAGACGCTGTGGCAGGCTTCGCTTCCCATGCCGCTGTTCAGTACGCCGGCATCGGCGTGAAGCAACCTGAATCAGGCCGACGGGACCGGGACCGGTAGGCTTCGCAGAAGCCGCTGTGAGATTTCACGTGATGCTGCCTGCCAGCATTGGACAGCGTCGGCACGCGCTTTGATGCTGAGTTCATCGAAGGCGACCAGGCCTGCAGCATTCAAACCGTCCTACGGGGGTGGGTCAGGGGACGCCACAAGGAGCACATTGCACATTCAGTGCGTGCGCTACGGCAAGCATCCGCCTTAACGAATAGCCCAATTTCTCAAAGGTGTTCGACGTTGTGAAACTCTGCTGCATGCTGCCCAGCCCATAATGCGGGCAAGTCGTACATAATATCGACCGCGCACGTCTTCCAGAGTGCAGAGCGTAGACTTCCGCTCAATGAAGCAGAACTGAGAAGCTCTCCTTCAGTCAGATATGGAGGAGCACACTTCCCCCCAAGCGCGGCACGTTGGCCTGGCTTCTGCAGGGTCGTAGCCACCTTTCGGGTTGCTTCGTGATGAAAGCTGTGGCATCATAGCATCCGTCCGTTCAAGCGACATGTGACGGCCAGAGGATGACTTCGATGCGCCCCAGCTGATGAACTACACCAGCGACACGGGGCCTCGGGACAGGCTGGCCTTCAACCGACCGAGCTAGAAGTGCAGAGCAGTTCCAGTCAGACGACGACTCTTAGAAGACCTCATTGGTTCATCCCAAGCCCTCGAATCCAAACCCCAAAAGCCTCAAACCTTGAAGCCCTAAACCCGTTGTTCCATGCAAGTCCCGCAGTGAGAGAAGCAGGGCGCTCTGTCTTTGATCCCACCAAATCCTGTTGCAGGGATCGCGATAGAGACAGGGATCTCCGGGATCGCGGAAGAGACCGTGGAGATGACGCAGCTTGGAAGCATCTCTGCGACTGTTGCTATAGAATGCAGCATCGTGCAATGCTCAAGTATGTTACATGATACTACCGGATATGACATGAGATCATGCTATACTTACTATACTTCACTATGTTGCATGATGTTACATTATATTGTTTTACATAGCGTTTTATCACGTTCTATTGCACTCTATTTCATTTTCCTACATTGAATTGCACGGTATTGCGTTATAACATAACATATTCTGTAATGTCTCGCTATACTGTATTCTACAACATTATGATACATGATAGTATATATACAATTCGCAATGTGTCTTACACTATGTTTCAATGTATCGCATTGTATTACTTTATGTCGTTTGTATACCTCATCCCT